CGGGTGCGAAATCCTTATCTTTCCCTGCTGCCTTGTAAGATAGGCAAGCGGGTAGTATCTCGCCTACTGACGAATCATGAAGCCACGCAACTACGTTCACTTTCTTCCGTTCTCATCGTCTTGCTACTATGCCAACTTTACAGACAAGCCACCAATTTATTTACCTTTCTCTTGCATCATTCAGCCGCATTGTTACTTAATGCTTCAACATTGAACAACCCTACTTCCGCCGATGAATTTGTTCCCTTACCATCCGTCAACTCAACTAAATGATCCACATCAAGAAGCTGCCAGCCCCGAAGTCTACCATCTTCGCTACTGCAACTTGGGATGCAGTCCAAATTAGCAGCCTTCAACGTACGCACATAACTGCAGATCGGACAACAGGGTGGACTTTCACTCACGCTGGAGACCCATGCAATTCATGTCTGCTGCCTGTGTCCATCGCAATGAGGCTGCACCTTACCGTGGTGCGATGGTTTGCGTGCCTCAGAGATCCATTGAGCTATGCTGGGTGGTGCATTTTTTGCACCTTCAGAGCCACTCATGCCAGATTGGTCAATGGTTAGAGGCCAGACAAACTCAGCCTCCTGGTCCTCCAGGTTGGGGGTTAGAATCGGCGTGGCTTCTCATTTCATAAAACGGGCTCTGTAGTCCAGTGCCAAAACCCGCTGCCTTGCGGTAAGGTTTTTGAACCAAAGGCTTTGGTTGAGAACCCTAATCGTTCTCCTGTCTAGGCCTGGGCAACCTGACAGTATCCTGCCCACGCAATACAATGAACCTTTCCTACAACAATTTCTTGATGCTCTGGCCGTCGCAGAGGATAATCAACGGTGCCCTATCTGCTGCATCGAGCAGGGTGGATAGGGGTATGGATGCTACTGCTCAGGCCTTCCCGTCTTCTTATATCCTTCTTGCGCTTTTTCATCCTTATCGCCCCGCTCCAACTTTACTTATATCCTCCCCATTTTCATTCCCCCAATTCTTGGCCCTCTCCCAGCTTACTTTAATAGTCGCTTGTCTTCTAATTTCAAATCACACACAATCGCAGGGCCTCGCTCCAATCCAGTCGACAAGTCCAAGCGGACAACGTCAGTTCATCCGTTTCCCTTTGGAGTCCTTGTGTCTCGCTAAGATTGGCATACCTCAACATGCGCACCTTGCTGCAGATTGGCCAACAGGCAGCACTTGCCCGCACATTAGAGACCCTGTCGATCGATATTTGCTATTTATTAGAAACCCGACTGCAAAATTCGAGCTCCGTGCTTACCCTGAGATCCCCCACAGGCGACGCTGGGGGCACATTCTCATTGCGCCTGTCTGGCGATGATGCAGCTTCAAATGCCGGTCAAGCTGGCGTCGGCATTGTTTTGAGTCCCCGGGCTGAAGCTGCCTTGCTTGACTGGATACCAGTAAACAGTAGGATGTGCGCCGTTAGATTAGCTGGTTCGTCTCCGTGCTACGAAGTCGCGCGGGGACACACGGTGCCTGTTTGTTATTGCGGCTTACGCCCCCACAAACTGTAGCACTGATTCGGTAAAAGATGATTTCTATCAGCAACTGCACGAGCTCCTTCGTTACAGAAGATGCATGGATACTGTGGTGTTGGCTGACGATCTAAACGCCCAAGTCGGCAAATTGTCATCTGATGAGCTTCATCTGGGCGGCCAACATGGTGTAGGCTCCCGTAATGAAAACGGTGAGCGATTGCCACACCTGTGTGAGGATGCTCACCTCTTTCTCGCGATCACTAACTTTCGACACAGCACCCGCAGAAGCATGACTTGGCGGCCACCAACCTCGGGCCAGCCATGGACGCAAATCGATCATATCGCGATTAGTTACCGCTGGAGCACGAGCGTAGATGCTGACCATGCACTTGTCCGGGTGCGTTTCGGTGGACATCCGCAACGTCGATGTGAACGGATTGACAGCAACCAGTTGATGAAGCTAGGTGTTCTGGATGTGTATCAAAGTACGCTGACATCCAGGCTGAGTAAGCGCCCACTGAACACCGTTGAAGATCACTGGTCGCATATTCGTCAAGCGTTGCTGTTAGCAGGCATGTCTTCATGTGGCAAAGCAAATTGCAAAACCGGACATTGGGTCTCTACGCAGTCCCTGGAACTTATGGATGCTCGCCGACGTATTCCGCCTGGAAGCGAATACAGTGAGACTCGCAAAAATCTCAGGGCGAAACTACGTGCTAGCCTAAAGAAGGATCGCGAAACCTGGTGGTCTCATCGTGCATCGGAAATGGAAACAGCCGCTGCCGTTGGTAATCATCGTGAGTTATACCGTCTGATACGGGAAACAGGCAGCAGGAGACCTGGTGTTAGCGAGACCATACGCGACGAGAGTGGGCAGATGATCCACAGCCTGTCAAAACGCTTAGAGCGTTGGGCAATTTAATCAACCTGAGTTATCGCTTTCTTCTTCGAGTATTGAGCGCCCTTCTCCCTGGGCTTTTTCCTTGGATCCGCCATCACGTGCAGAAGTCGAATGTGAGATCAGGCTGTTGAAATTGCATAAGGCCGCAGGAGCAGATACGATTCCTCCAGCCCTCTTCAAATTCGGGGGACCTGCTCTAATAGATGATATACACGAGTTGCTAGTAAAACTTTGGGAGCAGGAGACAGTCCCGACAGACTGGAACCGCTCCGTCATTGTCCCAATTTTCAAGGGAGGCTCTCGTTTGGAATGCGGCAATCATAGAGAGATCAGTCTGATTTCGATTGTCTCTAAATTGCTTGCCTCTATCATTCTCCACAGACTGAGTGGCACTCGTGAAAGCCAGATTCGTGAAGAGCAAGCCGGATTTCGTCGAGGTCGGGGCTGCATCGACCACATCTTCACATTGCGTCAAGTGTTGGAGCACCACCATGTGTATTGGCGACCCACCGTTGTCGTGTTTCTTGACATAGAAGGTGCCCTCGACTCAGTCGATCGATATGCCCTTTGGGACTGTGTTGAGGAAAGGTGTGCCTGATAAATATGTAAATATTATCAAAGCGCTGTACGCGCATAGTTCGAGCGCTTGGTGTTGTAACAAATGCGGTCGCGAGTGCCTGAGTCAGGCAGGCCTGGTGAGTCATGAGATAGGCCACTCGGGTTCAACCTCGATAAGATGAGTGCTACTGAGAGCGCGAGCAGAACGGGTGCAGCGTTGGTAGGTTGGTTGCATTCGATTTACTGCGTGCTGAGTTTCTTTATTTCAGGTAGTGGGTTTGCTATCTTGTCTTAATGCTTTTTTACCTCATTTTAACGTATACCTGCATAATCTCTATTGACTTACACATGTCGCTTAAGCTAATTGTGGTTAACTTCATTCACATTTTCGCGTTTGTATAATTGTTTTAAAAATATTTTTTATGGCATTTTGTACCTTACGCGGATTTGTTGATGGTCAATTTCTTATATATATACTAATTTAACCAAACGTTACTTCAGCATATCCGTATACCTTATCCGATTTATTTTTTTAATATCGTCATTCCAAGTGATTGGATGTTGCTTGACATCCCAGTTTGGTTGCGCTTGTTATGCATGTTGACAAGGTGCCTGCTTGTCTGTGACCCACTACCTCCTTTATATTGGCTCTAGAAGATAGTTGGTCGTTGCTGGGTGGGATGGGACGCATGTTCCTCATGACCGTGTTAGGCTCGAAGAGTAGTTTTATGCATATGTTTTGTGTGTGGAGCTGACTACGTTCCAGCCACCGCCTTGTGTGCGCTTGATTCCCCAAATACAGTATGCTTGTGTTTGCCTGTGAAAGAATGTGGGCCGGCTCCGTTGATGAAAGGTGGCTCCCATCCACATGCCTGCCGGTCTTATTCCTTCGGGTTTACACTGGATATGGGGTGTGTGGTTGGAGCTGTGGGTGGTGCAGCGCAAGCCACCCATGGTCCCTCTGTGGGCGCAGACGTCCTGTGGCTGTCCTATGGAGGCCGCAGTGACAAGCAAATCCGCAACCGGATGCCGCCAACCGTTTGTAAGCAGTTGTGTCGCGAGACCATCTGGCAACCCTTAGTTATTTGTATGAGGTACCTCCTTTTGACTGATACATTGACTGCAAGCGCTATTGAATAAACATTTAGTGCTGCGTGCTTCGGCATGTGTTTTGCACCTTCATCCATATTGATCAGGGTCTTGGCCAGTTTGCTGGCAATACATTAAACCCTCGGCCGTTTTTATTCTCGGTCTTTGCGGAGTTGGTAACCAAGAGAGTAATACGCAATTATTCGTCAATTGGCTTTTGGGGAGAAGCCTTCTAATACCTCACTCACTCACTTGATTCCAACCGCTTACTTTGACTAAGTCATGTCCTCCATGTGCGCGTAATCGGTTTCATCAGTGGTCTTTATACCCTGTCGTTGGACCAGTCTTTGTGAAACCGTGTGGTTACCGGGTAGTGCCGTGTCATAAAATTGGCGCATATACTTTGTTGAAAACCGTCTGGGGATGGTCCACATCAGTGGTTGAATACAGTATCAGACATGGCGCAGTCAGTGGCGTTTTTGTTTTCGGTTTTGTGCGTTTGGGTTAATTTCATTTCTTCCTTAACTTCCCATTGCTTGCGTTCTGTTTGCGTCCTACTGGTTTTCCCACTATTGTTATTTATCATTCTCCTGGCGTCAGGAGTTGCGGTAACTGGATGCATCGCTTAATTGCAGTTTTTCTTATCTGGCTCTTCATCCTATTTGTTGCTTGCGACTATCTTCTTTGTTAACCTTGCGCTAAATGCGTACTTCATCGCATTTTTCTACGTGGGTGATTGCACCTGTGTGCTGATTGTGAGCGTAGTTGTGCTACTTGATTTTGTGCTTTCCCTTTGTTTCCTTACGCTCTTGTGCGTTTCGAGACACGTTCGCTTCTCCATCTTAATGCAGGCACAATTTCACTTGCCTCTGTAATCAGTCCGCCGTTAGGTACGTTTTTGGTATTTCATAATACGGTTCTTTCTTGATGCGTAATTCCATTTCATCTAGGTTGGAGGAAGAATGCGGTCGAATTTGACTCCATTTTCAACAGGTCACTGCGAGCTTGGGCCTGGGGAACTGAAGAGGTAGTTGGAGCTTTTACTTTGCCTCACGTGCACACTGAAAGTTCTCCCACCAACTTGAGTGAATTGGGTCGACACAACATTGTTGATATCGATCTTTGGACCGTGGATAAGTTTATTGTGAGTTTTCAGTGTTCGCTTATCACGACGTGCGTACTTATTGTGTTTTACCTTATTGAATTGACGGAAGAAATTTATACTGTGCGAGTAAAATCTTCACAGATTACTCTCATCTGATGTGCGTTCTATTTTCGTTTCCTGAACGACATTACCCAAGCGTCTGACTTTTGCTGTCTTACCACCGCCCTTCACTACCTGCATACAAACCCGACAAACCCCATATGTGGTTGACAGTGACCGCGGTTATATGGTTTCATGCTATCCGGGAAAATGCACAACTAATTGTGAATTTCATGCAACCAGTTCCCTGGAGAAATTTCGACGTTTAGCAAGAATAACCAGCAGTTAGCGAGTTAGACAGTCTATTTATCACAAACCCAGCCGGACAGCGCAGTATTTAAACTGTAACAGTTACTGCCCGGTGAACTATAAGCGATCCTTGGTTCGCACTGTTTCACGAGAGCGCGGCGAATCTGTTCTGTAGAGTCAATCACGAGTGAACTGCAGCCCATTGCATCAACACTGCGTGATAACGGGTACCCCAGTAACTTTATCGCAAGGTCTGGGGAAGAAAATCCCCGATCCACATGAGTCAGTGAACTGACCATGTGCTAAACCCACTGTCTTTCGTGTGTACATTTAGTCATAAGCTTTGGCTGAGGACCCGAGTCGTTCTCCTGTCAGATGTGGGCGCCCTGCCAGTAACCTAGTCCATCCTCTTCGGAGGTTAGGAAGTGGTCGATGGCCCTCTTCCCGTAAAACCTAGCCATGGGAGACAACAGGTCTACGGGTTATATGCTCACAGCTCGATTGGCGTAGAGCACGAGCGCCACGCATTGTCTCTGGCGGTTGGATGCCACCTCCGGGTGTTCAATCGTTTGCTACTGCCCACCTCAAGCCAGGCCGCCCATGGTCAAATTGGTGCAAACCCGCCAAACCCACCTGCGTCTGGCAGTGGTCGCAGGTGCGTATCCTACTGTGGTCGCAAAACATATGTGAATCGTTCCAGTACCTCAAAGGCTGCGGGTGACGGCTGTCAAGCAGATCCCAATCTGTCTCTGCAATCACATTCTCGAGCTGGATCTGCTCCCCACTGCCATGTGGGTCAGGCAAGAGAACCAAAGGCTCTGGCCGGAGTCCTGAGGCAAACCTCCGAACAACCCATTTCCTTGTGGGCCAGGCTATTGAGTCAAAGGCTCTGTGCGGAGTCCCTCACGCAAACCTCCGAAGCACAGCTGCCACCTCGCGTGCGATTACCCACCAATGCAATCATATGCCTGCGTGCAAAGCACTCAGCATCGGGTGCTGGAACGTGCGCACACCACTGGACCGGAACTCGTGTAAGCGCCCCGAGCGACGCACTGCACTGCTCGCGATGGAATTGGCCCCCTGCAACATCGATCTTGCAGCAATCAGTGAGACATGGCTCGCTGAGCAAGGTGTTGCATGAAGCAGGTGCTGGCTACACATTCTACTGGGTGGGCAACGCCGCATCAGCACCACGTGACCATGGGGTCGGATTTGCAATATCCGATCGCCTCTATGGCCAGCTGGTGGGTGAACCAATAGGCATCAGCGCGCGACTGATGACTGTTCGCCTGCGACTCGGAAGAGGTTAGTTTGCCACTTTTGTAAGCGCGCACGGTCCGACCATGTGTTATCCTGATGACATGCGTGATCAGTTCTACACTCAGTTATCCTCCGTGATACGGTGTGTGCCGGGAATCCACCGACTATTTCTGCTGGGTGATTTCAACGCGCGCATTGGGCGTGATGCATCGGTGTGAACGGATGTTATCGGTCCGCATGGCATTGGTTCAGCGAATGCGAACGGTGACAGGCTGCTCTCACCGTGTGCCACTCACTGCCTGACGTTCACGAACACTCGGTTTGCACTGAGTGAGAGTGAGATAGCAACTTGGACGCACTCACAGAGTGGTCACGCTCATCTGTTCGACTATGTCATCGTACGTCTGCTTGAAGTGCGTATGACACGTGTGCTGCGTAGAGCAGGGTGTGGCACTGATCACAAATTGGTGCGCACCAAACTGTACATATATTTTCGTAAATCTATGTATTGCACTCCCGCCGTGAATCGGCGTAAATTTAACATTCTCTCCCTCGGTACTGTTGCGAAACGTATTTGAGCTGGAGAAGACGATGGCTGCACGCCTGTGTGATGTGCAATGCATAGCCACAGTGGGTGACCTGTGGCACCACATTCGCGGCCAGGTGACAGCCGCTGCCGAGGAGACCATCGGGCGCGCAAACTGTAAGCGGCCTGATTGGTTTGATGAGAACAATGCGACGATTGTCGCATTGGTGTCGGGGAAGAATGCAGCATTTGCTGCACATGTGGCAGACCCCAGTTACTAAAGGAAGAGTTCTCAGTTTCGCAAAATTATACGGCTACTGACCCGAGAGCTCCGTCGCATAAAAAATGCATGGTGGACGGAGAAGGCGAAGCAGGTGGAATGCTACGCTGAACGCCGCCAACCCAAGAAATTCTCTGACTCCTTGAAGACGGTGTATGGACTGAGATTGGAGCCGCTAAGGACGCTGATTAATGGTAGTTCAGGCGCTTCATGCACACAGACTGCAGACATAATGCAGATCTTGCAAAAGAACTTTGACTGTCTCGAACAACCTTTCAGAGATCGACTGGCCTACATTGAACGGCCTTAAGCAGTACGATGTGAAGACGTGTCTGGCGGACACGCCGACACTGGATGAGACGCAGAGAGCACATGCTCAGCTGCGAAACGGTGTGCCGGTGCCGACGCGATCCCGCCTGAAGTATTGAAACACGGCGGACCCGCGTTGGTGACTGCGCTGCATCACTTGGTGCAACGCGTGTGGATTGAGGAGGAGGTGTCTCCTGAACTAGAGGATGTCCTTGTGCTACCACTGTAAAAGGGCAAAGGTAGCAAGCAATGTGACACGAATTATCGTGGCATCAACTTGCTGAGTTGTGTGGGCAAGGTGATTGCCCGAATCTTGCTCAACCGCTTTGTCAGTCAGGTTGTGGAACAGAATGTGGCGGAAGAGCAATGTGGATTCCGTTCGGGTTGCAGCACTATAGATATGGTGTTTGCGGCTCGTCAGTTGTGGGAGAAGTGCAGAGAACGACACCAGCCATTGTACTCGCTTTTTGTTGATTTCACCAAGGCATTTGAAACGGTAAATCGCGAGGCATTGTTGCTGATGTTGGGTACGTTTTGTTACCGGCGTAAGTTTGTAAGTGTAATTGAATGGCGAGGCCTCAGATGGCTTCGCAGTTGTCTCTGGTGTGAAGCAACGCTATGTGTTAGCTCCTGCCCTGTTTAATATTTATTTGCATGCTATGAATTCTTGTGCTTTTGATGCCGCTTGTGCTTACGCTGTTGTTGTGGAGCACCATATTGTTGGTGGATCGCTGAACATCCATCCTTTCGGTGCGAGAACTCTAGTCTGTGAGACAACTATATGTTGCTGTTTTCTCACGACTGCACGTTGTTCGTACACAGCGCGGATGAGTTGCAGCACATGACTAGTGCTCTGACTTTGACAGCGACCAAATTCGGGCTCACCATCAACACAAACAAAACTGTCTGTCTCTTTCAGCCTTCACCGGAAGTGCAATCATCAATATTGCCGCAAATCAGTATTGATGCTCAAGTATTGGATACCACCTCCCGCTTCTGTTACCTTAGTGTGTAGTGTGATGTCGACTGACCAACAGCTACACAGTGACCTTCGTATCCGCGTGTCGAAGGCAGCGGCGGTATTCGGGAAGCTTGAGTATTGAGCGTGAAAAAACTATCAGCTTCCCATTTGCACGAAGCTGATGGTGTACAAATCCATGGTGCTGTCCGTTCTTCTATACGGCAGTGAAACGTGGACGATGTACCGACGGGATGTGCGATATCTAGAGCGGTTTGATCAACGGTGTTTGCGACGGATTCGGCGCATCGGTTTGTGCGACAGAGTTGATGACACGGAAGTGTTGCGTCGAAGTGGAGTGTATGCAGTGGACTGCATACTTTTACTGAGACACCTCATTCGGCTGAGTCATGTGAGCCGTATGGATTCGACACGGATACCGAAGCAGCTACTCTTTGCTGAGCTAAGTGTGGGAAATCGGCATGTATGGAAACCAAAGTTACCTTACCAGCACATGATCAAAGTCAGCCTCTGACGTTCTAATCCTGATTGCAAGTCTTGGGAATCGAAGGTGGTTGATTGGCGTGCATGGCGCGATCTGATCACGAAGGCAGTTGCCGAGGTGCAGGCGAAATACTTCATGCATTCGGATTATAAGCGGCAAGTGCGGAATCGGCAATCACCGATGGGTTGTACTCCATCGATATCGAGCGCATGTTGTTTATGTCACATGCGGTCGTGATTGCCTGAGTCATGCGGGCCTATACATATATATATATATATATATATATATATATATATATATACATATATATATATACAGAGAGAGAGCCAGTCAAGTGGAAGTAGTGGGTAATAGACGGTTAGGCACCTTGTCAACATTCGCATCATGCGCAGCGGCACCGGGGATATCAATCAACAACCAACCCCTGAAATGCAAGAAACAACGCACCGTCACTCGTGCAGACCAACTGTAACAACGATGCGGCCGACACACGACGTCAACCACCTGAGTGGCCTGGGTTAATAAATCGAATGGATGCGGGTGCAGCGCACCTACCAATCGCTGCGCTGATTATTCTTACATAATCGGCTGACTCATCGTCTTTCGGATGCTGACCCCACATGGTCACGCTGGTGGCTTACCTAACCAGCTAGACTTAGGTACTGGCGACCACATTGTTACAGCACCATGCGCTCGTTGTGCTAGAGTCAATCGGCGCCTGTCGCTTCAATAACCGGCGTTTCTCTTCCGCATGTGAAAGTGCGTACTGTTGCACCTGGCCGCATGCCTCATTGATCAGTTCATGGCATACGCACCTGAAATCAACTAGTTTTGACTACGGTCCCAGCGATCG